GTCCCTGTGTGGGTGGCGTAGTCCCTGTGTGGGGGCTGTAACCCCTCTTTGGGGCTGTAGCCCCTGTTGGGGGACCATAGCCCCTGTGTGGGGGCTGTAACCCCTGTGGGGGGGGCCGTAAAATATATATTCATGTTTCATGAATTCATGAATACATGTGTTTAGAATTAACTTTATTATTATGATAGGGACACTGGTAGGCTTCCACATTGCTTTAACACTGTAGATATATCAATAAAACATAGCCCAACTGATTGCTGTCTCTGTCTCTCTCTCCCTCTCTCTCTATATATATAAAGTGGTCTTTTGTTTTAATTGTGGAAGAACATGGATTTTGAGGTATTTTACAGAATGACTTTAGGATGTTTTTAAATCAGGGATTTTTCAGGTTTCCAATAGGAAGCACCAGAATTCCTGATGAGACCCTGCCTGCTCAGAGCTGGCACCTTCGACCCAGCTGGCTGTGGCTGACCTCCTGGCCAAATGGAGCCAGGAAGACATGCTTTGACAGTTCAAAGCAGGCCACCACACCTGGAATGTCTTCCGGGTGATAGCTGCCCATATGGCCAGGCAGGGGGCATGCATGGCAGTAGTGCCACACAGAGGCCAACTCTGCAGCCACAGCCTACTGGCAGCTGACCCAGAGGGACAGATGCCTCTACTGGCTCTGCAGTCCTCTTCCAGGTCGGGCTGGTGTGCAGCAGGTCACAGCCAGGCAGCAGCCCCCACTGCCAGACTGCTGCAGTGTATAAAGGGTGCAGGGAACTCTCAGGGCTGCTTCAGCAGTCCAGCTGGTACAAGGGGTAGTGTCCCTAGGTACCAATTGGCTGGGGCCCAGAAGCTCCTGAGAGTGAGTAGCCCTGAGCTACTTGCCAGGGTAGCTTTTTGTACTGATAGGGCCAGGACAGGGCAGCTTTTTATACTGCTGGGGATGACACAGGTACTGGCCCTGGGCTCTAGGTTCCCCTGGCTACAGATCCAGGAGGAACCAGGCAGGGTTATTTTGCCCCAAGTGGCACAATTTGCTCCACAACAAAGTGCATGTCCGAGCACATGCGCTGAGGCAAAAATCCCTGGCTCAAATTTGCACCACTTCTATTTGAGCTGCTATAAATGCATGTGCTTGCATGTGTGGACATGCCCTAAGGGTATGTGCACATGGCAGCAGCATGCATGGCCAGGAGGGAGCCATGAGTGTGTATGTGCAGAGGCACGCATTTTCCATGCAACACCCCTGCATGTGCACTCCAGCACATGGCAAATTGACCTGAGTGGGGTAGGGGAGGCTTGGGATAGCACCTGTGGTAGCCTTACCTAGGATTCTGGAGGCCTCCCAGGGCAGCAGTGGCACCAAGTCAGCCACTTGGAGCCTGACCAGCATACAGAGTGTGGCTTTGGCTGGCCAGGTTCCCTTCTGGCCATGCATGCTGCTGCTGTGTGCACCATGCCACATTTTGCAGCACTTTATTAGCCGCATGGCAAACAGGTGCACATGTGCCGCATTCAGTTTTTGGAGTCTCAAAGTGCTTTGAGGCACTGCAAATGGCACGTGCACGCTCATTGGGATGTGCCCTAAGTGCTTCTTTTAAATGTTCAGGTGCTAGGTCAGGCTTGAGAATCTAATGGGGGTTTCATCTCTTCCTCAAGACTTCATTTCTCAGATGAAGAGAGGGAAAGAGTAAGATACAATGTTGACAGGTTGTTCTTCTATCATTTAGTGCTTGAAACAAGGTGCCAACTTTCAACCTACTTCCAATGGCTTTTCATTGCCAATGTAGATGAGCATGCATGATACCATGACACCAGCTCCTTTACCATTAGTTTCTTATTTGTGGTTTTGGAGGTTCTTTATGTGCTGTTCTGAGAAGAGCTGAGAAGTGCAGGAAATCAGGGCTATTAATGAGTGTCAGAACCAGTGGTCAGTCAATACTATTTTGATGAGGGGGGTGTTCTCCTCAGTCAACTCTGAAGTCATGCTTTTCCTATTGCTCCATTCCCTGGAACATCTTAATTCAGTCTGACCACAAAACCAAATATTTTGTTCTAAACTCAAAACTATATATATTGCATCCATTGTTTTATTTGTGGGCACAGGTGGATTAATGCATGGGCCAGTGAGGCCTGGGCCCAGGGGCTCCTGCTGAGCATTGGCCCCCAAATGCCTGGGTTTCTCCCCCACCCTTGCCATGCCTGGGTTTTCTTGGAAATGACAGGTCCTGCATGGGATATGGCCAGGAACACAGCTGGGCAGTGCTCTACGATGTAAGCGTGTGCCACCCTTGCACTGCCTCCATGCCCCACTGCCATGCCTTTGTTCTCCAGGCTCTGTTCCCCATTGCCCCTGTGTGCTGCCTCCTGGGGAAGCCTTGGACTAGGGGTGCAGCACAGTGGGGAGGAGAAGCATCCTCAGAAGGATCAGTTGTGGGGGAAGTGTAACAGGTCACCCTCCCCCGCACCATCTTCCCTGGTAATCTATGCCTTATGTGGGGTGCTCTTGGGGTCTTCTTTGAAGTTCTTATGTCCCATCCTATACTTGCCTGCCACATCTTGATGGAAATTATTATGATGAAGTTCTTGCAAGTGGGAGACTGCCTATTGTACTGTGTATGTTGGGGCCTTTTGCCTATGTGGGCCTGACCCCTGTCTTTCTCTAGCTAGGCCTGCCCATCGAAACCCACCAAACAGGGTTTGACTCCAAGGCTCTAGCCTTTTTCGGTGTCTTGTGGCTCATGGCCCCCTTTCCTGCTCAAGCCTGGCCCAGAGGCCTGGGTGCTGGCCCTACAGCCAGGGGTTTGCAAGTTTAGAACCAGGCTATGACCCCAAACTTGCACCCTCTCAGTCCAAAAGAAGTAAACAAAACAAAGTTGCACCCCAGGTGCACCAGACCTCCCTGGCCTTTTTAAGATTGTGTCCTCAGGTGCCACAGTCAGTGCATCCCAAAATCCTGTGCCCCACTGGCACCAGGGTCTATGTACCCCCAAAAGCTGCACCTTTGCTGGTGCTGGAGTCTGTGCACCCAAAAGGTGCCCGAGTCTGTGTGCCCACACTGCCGCCGGGGTCCTCACTCCGTAGCAGGCCCCCAAAATGAGGCCTCCTCCTTCCCCTAATAGCCTCACCCAAACCACCGGTCTTATTCATTAATCAAAAAGAAAAAAATAAATAAACAGTCCCATCTGTGGGTAATAACTGCAACCAGCTAATGTGATAAAAGCAGCATATCAGCTTACATTCACAGGGTCTGTGCTTCAGCTCCCCACTGTCAGCTAACATCCTTGCTGTGATATGGCTGTCGTCTCTCCGGGGCTTCCGGGGTTCCCTTCTTCCCACCTTTGGACTACTCACCCAGCTTCTCCATGCTGCTCTCTGAAACACTCCTTGCCCTTTCACTGCTGCTCTGCCTAGGGGTTTTATAGTCCTGCCCCTTCTGGCCAGCTGACTAGCTGGCCAGGCTCCGCATTTAACCCCTTCATTACCAGCACTCTATGCCCAGAAAGTTCTGGCCTTAAGAGTGGACGTGCCTTCTGGTGACAGGGCAAGGGTTCCCTGTTACAGGGAGAGAAGGAGGTCCTGTGAGGGGAAAGTGTGTATGTGTCTGCATGTGTTCATGGCAGGAAGAGTGTGTTTGTGTCTGTATGTCTATGCACAGAGAGTAAAGTGTGTGTGTGTGTGTGTTTGTGGTAGAGAGAGTTTGTGTGTGTGTGTGTATGTCCATGCGCATGCCAGAGAGTGAGAGGTGTGTGTATGTATCCATATGCATGACAGGGAGTGAGAGTGCCCCTGGGGGAAAAGCAGCAGCGTGGAGAGCCCTGAGCCTGCAGCAGGCAGCCCACATCTACCCTTGCCCCACTGGGCTCCACTATGGCTGTGGCAGAGGAAGTGGGGCAGGGAGGAGAGGAGGGCAGGTAACACCCCCACCCTCAGCCTGGCCAGGTCCACCTAGCCTCCCCCAAGGGGCACAGAGATCCTCCCTGCCCTAGGCAGCAGCAGCACCAGGAGGGAAAGGAGCCCCACCTCCTGCTGGAGCCTGGCTCCCATGTGGGAGGGGTCCTCCAATTCTGTGTTTGCCTGGGGCCCCAATAAACCTTAATCTGCCTCTGTTTGTGGATTCAGCAAAGAAGCCATAGTCAGCTTTCAGGAACGTAGTTTCATAGTTTCTGGGGTCAGAAGGGACCTGAGTAGATCATCTAGTCCGACCCCCTGCCATGGCAGGAAAGAGTACTGGGGTC